CATTTAAGTCAAAAGTGGACTAACGGATTCTAGTGTATTTCCAGTTTTTAAATAATTGCAAAATATTTAAATAATTTTTCATTTTTTAAGTAATTGCACAATTTTTTATTTTAACAGTAAAACGTTTTCAATATATTATTGAAAAATTTTTCTTTAAGACTCTTCAGTCACTGTGGCTCTATTGAATTGATAATGTCAAAAACGAAGAAACCGTGTCCATAATTCCAACAAACCGCTAAATAAAAAGATATATTATTAAAACCATGCTTGCAGTTTGTTCTACATACTTATAAAATGCTCCGGATACAATTCTTTTACTGAAATAATTAATATATAACCGCTAAATAAATGTAACAAATCGGCTCGTTTTTATAGAATGTCAGCTGTGTAATTTCGTACTAAATATAACCGAATAACTCCTTTTATGTATTAAATTTCATAACAAGCGTAGTGTCCGGACTTCTACTTTCTTCTATTTTCAGACTTCTACAACTTTATTACATCTAATGTGAATGCATTCATGTACACTTACGAAAAAATATGATAAGAAAATTACTGAGGACAGTATTTTTGTCGATTAGAGAAAATACAACTGTTTTAACAATTGAAAACTTATATTAAACTTATTTATTGAATTAACGAATAGGTTGCTACAGTTTTCCAATAGTGTTATAATACGTGTTCTGTAGTTCCGAATAGAAATTCCGAATTCTACTTAGTGGTTTCGCTTCTTTAAGATTATTTATTAATTTTTCTTTCATTCTAGGTAACTTATAACTATCTTCCTCGGTAGGGAAAGTCTTTTGTCGATTTTATTCAATTGTATGAATGTTACATATAACGCGTCGTGACGAAGCCTCAATCAATACGAATCGCGGTTAAGTCTCGAGATTTCCTCGGACCGCGATTACGCCTAATAATGGTTGGGTCACGACTCTTTATCCGTTTTCTGGTACAGCGACTCGAAACTCGACTGTATCCTACGACTGTCTCTAGCTGACTGTCACCGCACATGACTGAACACGCGAGTCCTCGTTCTTGTCTCCTATTGGAGGGACTTTGTTTTTGTCCACGCCGGCATTAGTCTTTTGTGGTTTATCGCTTAGAGTTGCGCGGACACCGCCGCGGCTCGAGCCACTGCATCTTTACGTATATATGCATTCGTACGTGAGCTCGCATATGTACATATATATGTATGACTTTTCGTATTTATCCTAAGTCGTGCACGACTCGCTTAAACTACGTTACATTTTCCCCCCGTTGAGAGAGTAACGATCAATAACTTTATAATTTGTCGATCTATAATGTTTCGCGACTATATTTCGAATTAATGCTTCGCTTACTTAGTACATCGCTCGCATATGTAAAGCGTTTTTCGTATCGTATTACATAATTTGCTGCTAATCACTCGGCAACGGACATAGAAGTTTCGTAGGTCTTTTCAGTTCTCCTGACATCGTTTTGACTGTGGCCGTTCTAGCTATCCCATCATCGCCTGAATGTAGTTGGTGATTTTTCCCAGCGTCCATTGTGTGAGCATGATCGGGTTTTGTCCTTGATAAGCACGACCGACTTTAACGTTTGATCCATTTTTTATCCATTTATGCCGCTTTTATAGCTCGTTCAGATATTCAAGATTCCAACGAGCCCAGAAATCTTGTCGCACCTTTGTGATATGTTGCCAAACTGATAATCGATTGGCTGGAACAGATGATAAGTCGCCCTCCGGAAGGGTCGTTAGCGGCTTGCCGGTCAAGTAGTGAGCTTGTGTTAATACGCACATGTCGTTCGGATCAGAAGAAAGGGTAGTAATGGGTCTGAAATTTAAGACGCCCTCAACCTCGATAGTAAATGTATTTAATTCTTCGATGGTAAATAGCGAATCTCCCACAACGCGTCGGAAATGATGTTTGAATAATTTAACTGTCGATTCCCACAAACCACCGAAATGTGGTGCTGCTGGCGATATAAAATGCCAGTTAATATGGTGTTCGCTTGCGAATCTCTGTACGTGATTTTTATGTTCGTCTGAATTCGACAAGGCGTATATCTCCTTTAATTGGTTATTAGCGCCTACGAAATTTGTCCCGTTGTTTGAATAGACGTTGGCTGGTAAATCTCGTCTGGCTACAAATCGTCGTAGTGACGCGAGAAAGCCGTCGGATGATAGGTCGCTCACGATTTCAAGGTGTATTGCCTTTATAGCATACATACGAATATGCATGTATACACCTTGATTTTGGTTCGATTGCGATATTTTCTCTCCTTGATGTGAAAAGGACCGCAAAAATCTGTGCCT